ATAAGACCATTAGCGCTATGAATAGAGAGTCTTTAATGAATACAAATAAGAGCATCTTCCACTCTACGAATCCATTTTTGAATTTTCTTGCAGAAGTGAGAATGCGAGCCAAAAATGGTGAATTCTCAACACCCGGTTTACCTATGGTTAAAACAGACTTAATGAGTTTAACAAAGATATCAGGAGATATTTGGAATAAAATGAGTGACAAGCAGAAGAAACCATATAGAGATTTTGCAAGTAAGAATCGGTTGTATAAAAATAGTATGACACAGAAAGTAAAAAAAGGCAAGAAACGTAAACGGTCTTCGTTGGGAAGAAGGAAAATTGGTCAATATAAAATGCAAAAGAAATATACGAAAAACGCTGAAAACAGTAATGTTGTAACTGTGTATCGTGCCGGTACCAAAAGTTTACCAAGCATTTCGAAATTGTTTGTTATACAGCCAAGGAAGGTAGCACAATTGTGAAAGAAATTTTAGTAAATGGTCAAATATAACTTGGCAGTAATATGTGGATATTAAGAACTTCATTACCATATCAATGGTTTGTTCCATAATATTCCATTACTTAACAAAACTGTGTAAAACTATAACTAAACTCGGTGAAAAATTCTTAGGAATCAAACCTAGATGCCGAAAGACAGAGTGAATATCAATAACTGCAATAAAATTCTAAAGACTACATCCCATGATAAATGTCTCTGGACAGCGAACCGTATGTGAAGGCGAGAAATTATGTTTGTGTTTTTAGAAATTAAAAAAATTTGTTGTAAAATATTTTATATTTTAAATAACTAAATTGTTACTACAATCTTGAAGACTCTACAGCACTAATAGCGACTGTTACTCTTTAAAAATCTATTGTAGAATAAAGCACTCCAATAATAAATTAAAATCATTACTATATATTGTATTCGTGTTTATATGAGTTCGTCTCATCGTCACACTATCACACAATCATTTCCAGTGCATATTCAAAGCTTTTAGATGTCACATAGTCCTGCAGTCCTAGGACTTTTGAAAACTTCATTTTAAACAATTAATGTTACTGAATATACATAGTAGTAAATTGGTTGCTTTTCCATATGTTATATGATAAAGAAAAGCATTTTCATTAGAAAATATATTTTATATTTAGAAACCACCCACATAATCTACGTGCGATTGAAGTGAACACGACCACAACACTATCAACATCTACCAATGAAGGATGTCTGAAATCTTCACACAATCACGTTTTAAGCGCCGTGGTACACATCGCTTCACCCACAAGGAATCAAACAATCAAGTACGTTTTCCATTACTTTGTTTGCTGCGGAAAAACTCAATGAATAACTCAATGAAATCTTTGCTCTTTTCAAAGCAAATACAAGCTTTACGCATTGTCGATAGTTGATAGTCGTTTGGGATGCTCAACTCTGTTAATGGAATTTATAGATTTACGGATGTTTGGTTTAAATCCACTTTCTTGCAAAAGCAGATTTTCAAAGTTGTGCATTTTTTGGACGTGAAGTGTATCTGACGTGTAACGTCGACTAACATTTTCACATTAGTAGTTCTTTAGGGAAATGTGTAGTTCGCAGTTAGAAAAGGTAAAAAGAGCAGTCAAACTACATAACTAAGGTAGAGGTAGAAAAGGGTAAAAATCAAATTAATTTTTCTTACCAATCATCTTTAAAACAGATATAAAACAGGATACAATCTTTGGTATAATTACCTTATGTTATTTTTAAATAATACGGTAGCACAATGGGCCTATAGGCCTAAATGGATCCCCTTGGAATCGCAGGTATAACCTAACCTAATCTACCTTATGTTATTCGTAAAAATATTTATTTTTCATCATCCGTAAAATATTTCATCATCCGTCAACTTTCAACAACTGATAAAATTAAACTATTTTTTATACCAATAAATTACTATAAAAGCATCTCAAACCAAAAGAAAATAATAAATTCATATGAAACATCACTTAGCTTTGGGTTTGCTGTATTCGTATTTAAGAGCTTACTCGTGTTTAGCGTAACCCTAGGTCTCTTGGTTTTAAGATCTGTTTCGTTCTAATGATTTGGTTTTTGAATGGATTTTTATGATACATCTGTTCTTGATTCAAGAGTTACTTGCATCACTGGACAATTTTTTCTTTAAGAATTATGTGAGACTTTCGATATCAATCTCTCTTAGTCTTACGGGGTGCTCAAAAAGGTTGAGACCTCAATAATATTTGAACAGATTCATTACACTTACACTAACTTTTAACTATATTCACAAAAACTTCTTTAGTAAATTCTAATATATTTATATAGGTATTACAGATTATATTCAACTAGTTCAAACCATCTGTTAACTAGATCTAACTGAACAAACAATAAATTGCTTTGTAAGATATAATTCGGTTAGCGAAAAATATCGCTAAATCCTTTTGTCTTACTAAATAACAACATAGGTATAGTTGATACTGTTGTTATATGTTGTATACAATATTTATTGATGGATCTCATATACCTACGTTCAAAGAGTTGTAAAGAGTAGCAAAATAGACGCGTGAAGATTATAAAAAAAAGTTGCAAATTAATTTGTTATCTAAACGACAAGGACAGCCATTGACCGAAAAATATGGGATATCAACTTTGGTTTTAAAAAGCTGTTGGGGGCAGTTTTAGAAGATGTCATAGATAAGACTTTTATAACATGTTTAAAACGAAGAAAAAATCCCAAAAACCAAAGAATTGGAAATACTTTGCGGGTTAAAACAGATTCCTTCAATTTATTGATACTGACAAACAGAAAAATTTATTTTGATTTTAGAATCATTAGAAAAAAGTAAACAAATCTGCACTCCGTATATGAACTAAGGATCTTCACTGCAGATCGTGTTTATTATCTGTTAACAGTCGTATGTTAATGACAGTCGTATAAATAATTTTTTTGCAAGTATAACTTTTCGATTATATCTCTTTATTGTCTGATAAAGAATTGAATTGCTTATATGATTTGTTAATATTACAATTAAATTTAATTTCTATATTTCCATTTAATATAATATAATCCAGCTGAGAGCTTTTGTGTCATTCTCGTACATTTAACATTACTAATAACATTAACATGACTAATGTTACTACTTGCCCTCTAAGCCTCAGAGCATATATAATACCGGTCATTTTTTGTTTTAGCAACTATTTACTCATTTAACTTAATTATTAATCTCATTTAAAACATTCCGAGTAAACAAACATTTTGATATAAAAAAATAAAATTTATAAATATGAACTTTTGCGTTTTGCAGATTGTGTTCTTTGCATTATGGAACCTGGCAGCGAATGCGCACTGTTAACTCTTCGTTATGTCGCTGTTTGTGTAGAGCCACAAGCCGATTTGCAAGAATTGATTTTTCACCAATATTAATAATGCAAGAAAATTCCCTATAATATAATATAATAGTTATTTATAAATGAATTTATTTGCTTACCTGAACGCGATTAGTTAAATGATTTGCCAAATAAAATTACAGAGGAACACTTATTTTAGCACTAACAATTCAACAAAAAGTCTTAAAGATATTTCCTGTCCAAAATTTCTCCTTAAATTGTGCATTTGAGTTTATAATTAAAAATATTGTTTTCAACAATTGTTGTTTGTTTTTGATTCTATTTTTCAAATATCTTGAATTAAATTTTTATTTAAACTATTCCACAAGAACTCTATTAGTAAATCTCGATGCTCACTACCAACCGACCATGTCGTGCTATCAGACAACTGCGAACTCCCTTCGTAACTTTTCACATATTTTCTAAATGACCAATATTTTGTCCAGCAGCTGATGGAGAAGGAATTTCTTTGTTTTTGTTTTTATCGTTAAATCATATAAAAATATTTGTTGATTACATACAAAGAAGCCAAGAAAACAAAACGTCAAATTAAATATTTCGTTGTGTGAACTTGGCAGGACTGGCACGTATTTCATATTAGGAGCTCTAGTGGTGACTAGCGAAACTGTTTGAAATACTTGAGGAAGTAAATTTTATTGTAGTTTTTTTCAATTCAGAGTAATATCTTATATTGAACATAGATCCATAATTTTTTCATTCCATTATGCAAATATTTTATTGAAAACAGATCCATTTAACTGTTATTTAAAGAGTTTTAGTAATATCTGTACATGGTCTCATTATTAATATAAATAAAAAATTAAAAGGTCTACAAAACTAAATGAATTCAAAACACAGAACTCCATTTGTTGAAATTGCATTCGTTCATTTAATATATTTTTCTTTCATGGACAAAACTATGAGATAATGTAAGGGTTAAAATCCAATTACTATTGCTGAATTGTACTTAATAGATATTAAGTAATACGTGTGCGGGTAAACTGAACCAGTGTTCAACTTCCATATAAACTTCCATATAAATAATTTATAATATACTATTATCTATGTTAACCCATGAGATTTTATTCGCTTTAGCCTTCTCAGTTCATTAGTAATATCCAGCAGTTGAATAGCGTCTACATTGAAGTAATTGAGTAATCGTTTTTCATGCTTAGTAGCTATGTACTTCTTGTATGGTTTCTTTGACTGTTGTAAAAATCACAGAAAACGAATCCAATTTTATAAAAACAACTTTCAATACAATTATCCATTCTTCACGTCTGAGAAATGCAAAGAGAAAATCAATATCGCATGTCGTTGTTGTTGTTGCAACCTGCTGGGACTTGCTTGTGAAGTCCCTTTGGGAGCTGTTAAGCGGCACTTAGTCATCGCTGGCAACGCGTGGCTCCGGGACGTAAACCGAGCCTTTCTAGAAATCATCTGTATCGCATCTGTAGTTCTTATGAATTTATTGCTACGATCTATCAGGTTCGCGTATAATCTTGTTCGGTCAGCTCCAACACTTAACTGTGTTATAAGTGGATATTTAACGGGTAATATAAGATAAGTAAACTTTTTGGGACTATGAATTTAAATATTTGACAAAGCGTTTAAACAAAAAAACAGACAATTTTAAAGCTTAACGTTTATTTTAGTATTCGTATTTATTTGAATGCAATGTTCATAATTTGGCCTAGCCAATTCAAATTCGTATTCACATACATATCGAAAGTAATCTACACAAAACATTCAACTCACATATAAATTAAACATGTATTTGATTATTTAGCAGAACTTGCAGCCGCAAATCGTTTAGATATATCATTCCAATTAGCAATTTCCCAAATTGCTTCGACATATGAAGGACGCACATTTTTGTATTGCAAATAGTATGCGTGTTCCCAAACATCTATTCCAAATAGCGGAACAAGACCTGTAAACGAAATAATAATTATATTTGAGCTATTAAGTATTACTATGAAACTTACCAGTGCTAGCTTCCAAAGGATCCTGGTTTGGTAGAGCAGCGATTTGCAGTTTGCCGGTTTTTTTATTATAACCCAACCAACCCCAGCCGGAACCTTGAACGGCAATTGTCAATGCTGACATTTCCTTTTTGAATGCATCAAAGCTCTTAAACTGTTCGTCTATGGCACACTTCAATTCTTCTGATGGTTTAGTGCAATCTGGTGCAAGATTTTGCCAGAAAATTGAGTGATTTATGTGACCACCACCATTAAAGCGTAAAGCACCGGCCAAAGAAATTATTTTTGTGGTATCTTTTTTGGATTGAGCCTCTGCCAATTGCTCTTCAGCCGCATTTAAATTAGTAACGTAAGTTTGATGATGCTTGGTGTGATGTATTTCCATAATCTCACGGCTAATTATTGGTTCCAAAGCTGTATATTCATAGGCCAATTTCGGTAAGCTATGTTTGCCCCTAACGGCAGTTCTGAATCACAAAAACAAATTTGCGTAAAATAAGCGGTGCATTTATGTAATCAGTATTAATATAGACATGTATGTTGTGTAAATACTTACTTTGTGACATTACTAACGTTACGTACCAATGAAAACATATTTAATTTGTTACTTTTTTGTATTTCAAAGGTAAACCACAATAAGAGAATCGAAAACTTTTCCTAATAAAATTATACACTTTCCCAACTCTAAATTTTGCCGATAAATAAACGTCAAAATAACTTCGACATACTAAGATTGAATAGCACTGCCAGCATAAAAAGTCGTACTGTTTTTACACTGTGGTGAAACCAAACAAAATTTGAGGTCAGTTGAGCGATAGAATTTACTGATATCATTCTAAGCAGGGCTTCGAACCGGAACTGAATCATGATATTTTGTAATATTTTCTATATACTTTTCCAGATGGTTAGAAACCATAGAGGGCGGTAGGATGATTTCATAAGTTAGTAGGGCGATACGAAAGATAGAGTATGTCATGAGGTGAAGGATTGTAGCTTGAATATGATTATTTTGTTCTCATTTTTTTTGTTTAATCAATATCTAAATTGTTAAGACTTTCGAAATGTTTAAAAAAAATATTGAGTATGTAATCAGTATAATCTTCACTAATGTTCACTAACAATCAATAATTAAACTTCTATCGCATATTTGCTTATTAAAATAATGGTTTCTTAAATTCGAGCTTTCATTACTAAATGATGTAAATACTTAACGTGGTGTTAACCTGCCAATACACCCACTTGAAGAGGGAGTTTCTTGTATTTTTAATCATTTAATTAAAACAATTTTTGTTACGATATAGTTTCTTTCGATATAGTAGTTTCTTTGTTAACACTTTCATGTGCAGATTGTTAATATCTTATATGAAAACCTATTTAGTTACGAGTCTATCCAGTCACATATTATCATTAATTCTGTTCTGAATTAAAGAAATATTTTTTTTAAATATTTGCATTTTATACTGGCATTTTCTAACATTAAAAATATTCTTCAAAACCAGGCATTAAAAATTTTTTCATTTCATTACAAAGAGTTCTATTTCATTGCATATTATTTCCAAAAATCCGAATCAGATGCTTTACAAATGTTATGCCCCGGCGTATAATTAGACAATAGTCGCTGACTACAATTGCTGACTTTTCTCACTGCAGGCCACTTATATAGAATTCAGTGTCTAGCGACTGTTGTTCAGGTACTACAATTTCTTTGCACAACTAGATTTTTGACATTTCTAGTTACTGTTGCTAGCGGCTGTTGCCAGCGACTGTTGTCAACGACTGTTGCCAGCGACTGTTGTCTAATTGTGCGTTGGGCATAACATGAAGTAAAAGAACGATTATGTGATTTAGAATAGAAATAGTCGACATAGTCTGTTTGCTATCAAAATATTATAGATTCGTTTATGGGTCTAATTCAGAAAGTTTGTTATTTATAGACTACTATATTAATAATTATAAATATTAAATATTTTAAGTAAGTAAAAAATATTTCTTGTTTTTTATTACTTTAACGTCTTAGCAAAACAGTTTTCGAAAAGAAATTAAAAAAAGTAATTTTTAGCTGCAGTACATCTTGTACTAGTTCATTTAATATATACTTAGTCGAATACGGACAACTTCTGAATAATAATCGTTAAACAGTTAAATTGGCAAATCTAAGTCTTTTTTTATAGACTACTAATAAATGCGACAAATTTTGATTTATGCATTACGGAATTATATTTTGAAAGACTGCATTAAGTATCAGAAATTTATTATATACTAAATATTAATTGAGCTGCACATAATTATAAAATTTAAATTGATTTGGTTTTATATTAAATTATTGATGTGAATACACAATATATATGTCCATCTACTATAAATTTTGATAATAATAATAATAAAAAATCATAATGCCGTTGGCTTTAGACTTATCAACTTGCTTAAAATATATTTATGTCCACGCTTTAACCTGAAACTGCAATGAGAATGAAGTTTTGTGAAAAGTTCAATCCATGAATGACTAATAAGTATGTTAAGTATTCCAACTTAACGGCCAATTATAAAAAACTTTAAATTGTGCATAATGTTTGAATAATAAATTAAATAAATTTGAATAATAATGAATTAAAATATCTTGTTTAAAACTATATAAAAGCCATATTTTACTTTAAATGATGGCATATCTCAAGTAGTAAAAACTATTTCTATAAAATACAAGATATTGTAAAAATTGTTTTAGTTCTTAAAATGAAGACTTTTTTTATTATTATTGGAAGGAACAATACTTCGCTACTACCTATGTATGAGATTTGTAACGCAACCACAAATCTCCTAAACTAATCCAGACAAAAAGAATCTTTTATTATCTTAATCACATCTCCTCTTCTTCTTCTTGTTATTGTAGTTGTTATATCCTGTGAGGATCTGCTTGAGTGGGCCCCTTTATAGATGGGAAATGGCACTTTGTCGTCGAATATGATCAGTCAAAATAGAACCGATCGTTTTTGAAACCTAGTACAGAGTTCTAATTTTACCTTTAAAGGTTGAAAATTCACAGAAACATGCCTAGTTAAAAAGGTTAGGTTAGGTTGGAGTGGCAGCCTTGTATCCAAGAAAGCCCAAATGTTGAACTAAAAGGTCAGTATACGACCAACGCAAAAAAAAGCAACAACTTTCCCATTAGGTAAAGGTAAACCAACCTGACAATTCTGTGAATTTGGCTGAGTCCAAGATGACAGCTCGGTTAGGTCAGTAAGAAAAGGAGCCCCGAAGATTTTTAATTTTCTCCTAGCTAAAGATGAATACGAACACATGAGATTCATTCTCAGAGCCACAGCCGAGACAAAAGTCATAATAGGGAAGACCAAGAGATTCGTCAGTAAGATTTTTGTTTAATTGAAAAATGTGTTGGCAAACTCGTCTGCCCTACAAGAAAAGAAATAGTACATTTTTTAATATTAAAATAGTTTCATCAGGGATTTGATTATCAAAAAAGAATTTTACTGCATAATTCTCATTACTTCTGCCTGAAATACACTGCAGTAGTTTGGTAATCGAAGTAAGAAACTAAGACTCAGTTTTTGAAAAATATACCACAGCTGACTCGTTTGTCTATTTTAGAGCCGTCGAAGTTGGAAACTCCAACTGCGACCTATGGCTCTTCTACAGCATTAAATAGCACAAGTAGCTTTATGGGTTCTTTCAGCCAAGTTAGCCCTCCAACTAAGTTTGGAATTTAAGTGCTGCTGCTAGAAGGTCGACTGCTCGATGGATATCGGAGCAGATAATAATAGTGGGAGAACTAAGTTTGGAATTTAAGTGCTGCTGTTAGAAGGTCGACTGCTCGATGGATATCGGAGCAGATAATAATAGTGGGAGAAGCCTGGTTAAAAAAGCAGTGAATAATTTAAGTTTACATCTATTTAGACTCAGTCTATATAAAGAGCTTTGTGAACAGTCTTAAGTTTTTGAATCAGTCCTAACAATTTTGCATTATTGAAGCAATGTGACAAATAACTAACACACACACCTGTGAAGATATTTTCAATCAAAATAAAATTTTTAAGTATATGTTTTTAACTTAATGAAAAGTACCAACTATTTCTTCAAATGATTATTAATCTGAAATCAATCCACTTCATTCTCTATATTCTTTATACGTCATTCTTTATAGACGTTGCTATCGATTTCCTTTTTTTAAAGCTATTATTCAAAAATAAACAAGTTATCAGAAAGGTTAATTAGCTGTTTAATGAGGTTGAAACCTATAAACATTTAATTGATCATTTATGATAACGATTATTGCCTTTATTTCTCTCTTACCCTGAGTACTATGTCACACAGGCTAATAAATGTAAGCTGGAAAAAAGCCTTAAAAGCAACAAGAAATGTTTTATTACCCGTTAATATTTTGATCGTCTCGTAATATGATCCTTACGTGAAAACTTTGTTAACCATTTTTCACCATTCACCATTTTTGAATATGATGACATCACGTTACGGATTCAATAGATCTCTTACATCTTGTACAATAATTAGTAAAAATAATATTTCTACAAATATTTCCTTCGCTGAAATTATATATTAAGTACCAACTATTTATTAACTACAGATCGATTAAGAAATATTGGTCAAATAGTCAAGTTCAATGGTTATTGTTAATCCACTAATCCACTTGCGACATTTTATCCATTAAGTAGTCAAGGTTTTTGTATAACTCCAAAGATTTAGAGGCCCTTAAGAAATTATTAAAATTGCAAAATTGCATTAGAATTGTGGCGGCTTTGCTTTGCGGAGGGGGCGGCATCAACACCAACTCTTAGGCAAGTCTCACTAGCAAAAACGATCGCTAGTTTTATGTGCAATTTAAAGTTGAACTTAAGCTGCGTCTTCAGTTGGTTATGTCAAAATAATATTTTATATTTTTCATAAAAATTTGTGATTTGTGATTGTTTCTTAAATTTTTGTGCAAAGTGACGGTTTAGAAGGGATCGACTCTTGACACACATTATAAAAAACGTAAAAATATTAAACGCAGACGAGGTAACATCACGTTTCATGTCAGTGTCGTTGAGATCTTTATGTCTTCTTCTTTTTTCTCTTTTTTAGAGCACAGAGTAGAGAGAACATATCGCCAACATGCTTGGCGCTTCAAAATTAAGTCACGTATCTTACGGATGCAACTGTAAAATTGTGTTCGTATAAATTAAAATTGTAAAAATTATTTCAGTAATGATTATTTGCATGACATCCTGTTGCGTTCGGTGATGGCTAATTATTCGACAGTACGGGCTGTGTGAACAATTGTTAATTTGCTTGTAGATTATCAATATAATTCCAATTGTAAGCATTCGAGATGAAGATACACCTTTGACATAATCCTGTTTCAAGTATAATATTCTGCAATACTTTTAATTATAACTAATTATATATAGTTCAGTAGAATATGGTAGAGAAAGCTTTTATTTGTTTATTTCTATTGTTTCTATGTATTGGTGATGTATTTGTTCTTAATGTATTAGAGAAAAACTAGCTTCGTTTCAATGGATATATGAATACTCCTTCACATATAATATAAACTTACAATACTACCGACCATCTCTCGTTAAGGTATCGACCCTTAGCAATACCTCAATACAAAGTGTGCGGTATATTTAAAAGAAGCAAGATGATTTCGTAAATAGTGAAGATGGAAGGAAGTTCTACCATAAACGATATTATTCTGAAACAATTAGTATACTTAGTATTGTCCAATTTAAATTAAGTTCACTGTTAATTTTATTATAGTTTAATATAATAAATTTATTATTATAGTTACGATCGTTTTCAATAATATTTTCATTTTATATAAAATAAATATAAAACATGTCCTACGTCATCAATTGAAGTACTCCTGGAACTCACACCTCTTCACATCCATGTGCAATCACAAGCAAAGAGGGCTGCTCTAAGAGTAGTGAGAAATTTGGTACTCTGGCTGCAGACATCCCAGAAACTGAAATGCCAACGGGCAGGATGATTGCAAAGCATAACTATACAAAAAACTTCAGAACTGAACCTGGCAACAAAAAAAATTAGGAAAGCTTGCCCAAAACCCTAAAAATTAAAGGAAACATGATAACATGGAGTAGAGTCGGCTGGAGCTGGTGTATATGGACAGCCGGCTGATCCATGCTGGCATCCAAGGCAATGAAATGGCAGACAAACTTGCAAGAATAGGCGCGGCTTCAGGAATGATAAGCCCACAACCATTCTTCTGTCTAGCCAAAGGAACTCTACCCATTCTTATGAACGACGCAGAGGAAAAAGAAAGAGAACTCTATTGGGAAGGGCTACCATGACTATCACTATCTAAAATGCTTATAATGCTTAAAAAATAAACTAAGAATTATTGCGGGATTATTGACCGTTCACTGTAGATTGAGTAAACACCTATCGAAGTTAGGAATTCAATCCAACTCAGACTGCAGATACTGTAAAGAAGAGAGAGAAACTGCTTGTCATGCGCTTGGGGTGTGCTCGACACTGATGCACAATCTGAAGAAACACCTAAAAGGGTATTTCGTGGATCATAAGGATCAAGAATAGAAAAGATAGGCTCTGTAATGTCTTTTATTAAAGAAATCGGACTTGGAGAAACACTCTAATCAGAGTAAGGGGCACAATAGATCTTTTAGGTCGCACTGCACGATCTCTTCTTTTCAATAATAAAATAAATATAAAAACTGTTTTGCGGTTTTCTTATAGTGTTTATATATTTCTTTTATATTTGCTCTTATTTTTGAATTAAATATTTTTTTATATATATTCTTATATTCTTATAGTTATCGCAATTTTAAAACATGTTATACGTTTGTTTATGTTTCTCAATAAAAGTGCACAATGCCAACTGAAATGTTTACTTCTTTAAATACTTATCTTCCACTCATGAGAAGACAACAGGGAATGAATGTACGTTCTGCGATCTCCATAAACAATGCAAATCTTCTTCCTATTATACTTTGAAATGAAGATGTATAAATCAAAATTCATTTCTGCATTATAAGCAAATTTTATCTAACAAATCATTTGAGTTGAGCATTTGACAGAGAGACCAGCAGATTAAAGATTTATGCTCGAAACACCTTTGCTAAGTGATTTGCAAAATATGGTTTTTGGAGGATGCAGACTCGTGATGCGGCGTCGAATTGGGTGAAAAGTTGAGAATAATAAACACAATAAAAAAAATCAAATCGCGCCCGCGTACATTTGAACTGACAAGAAACGTGCTATAAAGTTAGTCATGCGCTCTACGGAAAATATTGCGAATTAACTAAATGATTTACTTAAATATGCTACGAGTATTTTAATGAATTTTAATAAAATATAAATGATCACCATTAATAATGTGTGCAATGGACAAAATTTGAAATGCGTTTTTTATGTCATATTTTGGAATTCATTTTTTCACAATTTTAATACATAATATTTAACTCGCCAAATCCATTCCAAAATTTTTAAGTACTGCCACAAATTTTTTCTGCCATTAGGAGAAAAACAGGAAATGCCCATTCCAAGCTTCATTAATGTATGAATTTAATCAAAATAATCTTTGAAGACCTCACTTGGAAATTCTATTATTTCTGTTAGTGGCTTCTCTATATATAATTATTTCGCCCATTAGAGTATCAATGAAGCAATTATTTCGTAATAAATTAATATATTTTTTTATGCATTCACACTATTAATTAGATATTAAGATTTAAAACATGACCTATTAACTACTATAAAAACTCAGTATTATTAGTTTCACTGAAGACAAACTATAGTCATTTCGATGGAATTCTTGCATTTTTAAGCTTGCCGAAATCGATATACGACAAAGTTCAAATATATTATTAAATTTTAAATGGAAAACTTAAGATAAAGATGAAATAAAATTGTTTTGAGAAATTTAATTTCATCACTTTTATAGACTTAATATTCGTCAGAAAAAAATGTGTTAAATATTTCATCTTAACCAAAATTCTATGAAGAAGACATGGAAGGAAATGTTTATTAGACATATATGGTCTTATGTACTCATATAATACATGTATTCTTATGTATTATATGAGAAATCCTTATATAGAAAATAGAAAACACTTCTTTGGTCAAACAAATTAAATAGATAAAACTATACCCACCTATCTCTTCGTTTGGATAATATGAAATCTTCTTATGTGGAAAAAAGACGATCGTTCTGTGACCAAACACAATGAATCGATAAAACTATATCCACCTTTCTTTTCATTTGGATAATATGAAAACTTCTTATGTAGAAAAAAAAGAAGATCCTTCTTTGATCAAACACAATGAAGCGATAAACCTATATTCACCTATCTCTTTGTTTAGATAATATGAAATCTTATGTGAAAAAATGCGATCGTTCCGTGACCAAACACAATGAATCGATAAAACTATATCCATCTATATCTTCGTTTAGATAATATGAAAACTTCTTATATAGAAAAAAGATGATCGTTCCGTGACCAAACACAATGAATCGATAAAACCATATTCACCTATCTCTTCGTTTGGATAATTTGAAATCTTCTTATGTGGAAAAAAAGAAGATCCTTCTTTGATCAAACACAATGAATCGATACAACTATATTCACCTATCTCTTCATATTTACAGAATTACATTTTCTTTATTATTACGAAAAGATACTTATTAACTGATACTTATTAAGTATTAATAATATATAATATTTACTAATTTTAATTTAATTTCAATTGCCACATAAACATATGATTATTTGCCTCTATGAGATTTCATTAAAATGCTTGATATATTATCTAAGATTTGTTTTTTAAACAGTGGTTTATGTTCTAAAGTCATATCAAGATTTGTAACTCAACCGATTTATATTCATCCACTCTATCAAAAGGGCGGGCTGTAGTTTTCGTCTCCATTCGTTACGATCTTAACCTCAATAATATATAAGACAATTTATTCCTAATTTTGAAACATATCGATCAACCCTGTGAATGCATCTTAGTTTACAACAATCTCTACTTTGACTTTTTATAAATTGTCGCAACCTGGTGCATTTTAGCGAAAAAATTTTCTCGACTTTAATTATATGTTCTGACCATCTCTTAATACCGTTGCCATAAGACCCACAATTTTAAGCAGTACCTTTCGATAAAATGGTTATAATTAGTTTTTATGTATCCTGTCAATAGATAATAGGTTCTTTTGAGAAAATGGCTTTTAAGATATGTACGTAACCGCATGTGTTATATGTATGTTGTATATATATAATGTTTATTCTTGCGTCTTTATGTTAAATAGATTTTACGCTTATTAGGGTGAGATATTTTATTATGTGCTTAGACAATAGTCCTTCTTGTAGACAATATCCATCTCACGCGTATGTCAGTGATTGTAATGATTTGCAGAGAATGATTCGTCATTTACGAGTATTTTGTATTTTCTTATCATATGATAGGTTATCAGGTTGATTTTTTGAACTGCATATTTTTCAGAAATAATACAAATGCACAACTAAATGCATATGATTTGAAATGAGGTGTCATACGAGTTCTCAATTGTAGTATCAATTATTATAAAATATAGTTTTGTTAACAAATTCTCTAGGTTTGTAAATGTTATTTTTCCCATTTAAACTATTTTCTCATTATTCTGAGTATACGATGAAAATTTTTAACCGGGTGAGAAAATTTCGTTTTGCTGTTGACTAGCATTTTTTATTTCGTCAATACTAACATTATATTTATAATCTTATAAATTTATGAAAAAATAAATAAAATAAAATTCACATTAACAATTTGAAAATATATTAAATAAATAAACTATAACTGAATAGTTTATATGAATAGTTTATTTGAATTTTATTAGTCATTTTTAAAACCAAATGTTTTGTGCCAATTTGTTTTCCCTGATGTCTTGGCACTAATCGCCCCGTGTTTTAATTTATAGATACGCCAAGTCTCCGTTAGGCAGAAGAAATTGACAATATAAATACAAACGCACACCACACAAAGATCGTCCAGTACAAAGTACAGCAAGTACGCCAGGTACACTGAGAGAAAATTAGACACCAATGCAATGAATAATTGTGTGACGATGGCGAGGCGCTTTTCCACGAAAGCTAAAATATATGTTTTTTAAAAAAAAAATTTAATGAATTTTAATTATATTAAATTTAACTTACTTAAGACAATCATAAATATGTAAAACATTATGCCAAGCACACCATTCGGCGGTGTCAAATCACCTGTAAAATGTTGTAAAAGACCAAAGCCCTTCCCATAACTGAAAATAGGTATTATAGGTTCTCGATTAATTACTACTTACGATTTTAAATATATGTATGTGTGTACAGAGGTTTTATATAACTTAATTAATGATTCCCACCTTGACGTAAATACTGCCGTACAGCTTACTTTTTCGCTCAAATCACACATTGCTACATAATCGGCATCCTGCTCAGCTTTCACTTCCACATAAGTCGCATATGCGGAAAGTAGCAAGCCGATGACACACCAAATTCGTAGGTTTTTATAAGTTTTTAACATACTAATATATATTCTTTATCAATACAAAATGCACAAAGCAAATTCTTATCAAAATTCGTTTTAGTATTAATTTTGACTGCCTTTTGGAAGCACAAAACGAAAACTGTTTACCCGGACAATTATTGCTAGTTAAACGATTTTCCAGTCGCTTTCTGGGCAACAGCTGGTTGCCTTCAATAGAAATATATGCAACTTACCACACACATGCGCTGTTCTATTGTTATTAAAATTTTAACTATACTCACCTCATCGACCCCCCCATAATCTCGTCGTTATCCAGCAATACAAAACATATTTTGATTTAATTTGCCGTAGCGTATTCAGTGAAGTGTTAAGCAACAGGTACAAGGGTTAACAGTTGTTTGCATAAATGGGAGTTCAAAATAGTTAATAGATAAATTCAGGCCATAAAGATTTACGTATTAAATGAGTTATTAATTATTGAGGAACATTTGCTCCAAACAAAGAGCATTTGCTACATATTTTTTGTTAAATATTTATCAATAGATATTAGAATATTTATGGACAGGCATATAAAAATCAACAATGAGAACACAAAAACCCCGTTTATTACTCGTAAATACAGACAGCATCCACCGAGAGTGAAAGTTGTTGACATTTCGATTAATTGGGACGACAGCATTAAATACCTAGGAATCATGTTTGATAAGCGGTTCACTTGGCACTAGCACACACAAGTCAAAAAAAGTAGTTGCGCAAAAACACTGCAGTGCTTACAATCACTTTTCAAACACAACAACCTTAGCGCGAAGAACAGAAAGCTGATCTACAGGCAGATAATCAGACCAGCACTACTTTATGGGTGTGTCGCGTATAGCAAAGCTGGCGATTTCACCATCCAGAAGCTACAAGTTGCTCAAAGTCAGGCTCTCCGAAGACTCTCAAAAATACCATAGTACATCAGCACAAATAATATGCTAAGATACCTTAAGATAGATCCGGTCAAAAAATGCATAAGGGACAGAACCCTGAAGCTATATGTGAAAGCAGACAGGCTGCCCTACTTAGCACTATTTGATGTCAAAGCAATCACAAAGTTTATTTTAAATAAACAGAGGATATAAACTAAGCACTATTGCAACATGTGAACGAAATTGGATAGTCGTCACATTAGATCAAAAAAAGTGGAATGCATATGTTGTGAAAACACGGATCTACCATGAATCGTCATGGCTAAAGAAAAAAGAGGAAAGACATTAGAGTTAAGAAGTAATTCAGAAAATATAAACTCAAAAATTTATTTTAAAAACGGGTTGTGAACTTGTTACCACGTCACTGCATCCTTTGAGGATTATCGTAACATACCCACTTTAGTTCCATAGACGCGTAGCAGTTTAGGACGCCATTATGTCATTTGGAGAGATGTTGCCTAATTCCATTATAAGTGGATAGGCAGTGATTAAGTACCGAAGTCTGAATCTGGCGAGGCTATCACCGTGACATAGAATGTTTTCTGCTGTTTCGTCTTCTTCGCAACAAAGTCTGGTGCTATCGTCTCTAATAATACCTAGGTTCGATAGATGCTTTTTAACTCCGCAATGCCCAGTGAGAAACACTATGACAAGTCGGATGCCATTTCATCCATCCTAAATTGATATAAAGTGTTTAAATAATTTATTTATTACCTAAGTTATGATGTGCCACATAATTTGTCCAGGGTAAATGCTACAAATATCTTACGAATCTGCCAGACCCAACAGAAGATATTAATAAACAACAAGGGTTCTCGCCTTTGTTTCTATAATCATTTCAATTCAGAGTAGGTATTTTCAATGACTTCTGAAATGAGGAAAATATATAAAATATTATACAATCCCTTGAAGTGATCTTGACAAAAGAACTCGCAACGCATTGTCGTGCGTACATCAAAAGTAGATTTTCACATCAACAGCTTTTGTATGCTCAAACGGAATATTATTGCATATTTGTTGACGTTTTAATTATTTTCGGTTAACTCAGTCGAAATTAAAAACTGCCAAAATCGTTTGCATGAAAAGCAATTTTTTAAGATGCCTTGGAATGATCCAAATCGTGCCGAATTATAGGTTGCTACTTTTGTTTTGTAATAAACAATTGCAAAATTTTAAAAACCCATTGGAAATTTGTCCATTAATGATGATTTCTTATTCCAAAATATGCTAAAAATAGTTTTACCTTTGAAACTTGTAAAAAATACAGACAAATTTCCATAACTCGAATTTCTATTACTCGAATTTTCTATAATTCGAACTAACAACAGGGTTTAGAGAGCAAATTACATACAATTACAAAAAAGTTCTTTAACTCGAAGTCTACATAACCTTTCCTTTGCAAAATGGTACTTCGAGTTATGGAAGTTTGAGTGTAATATATCTTTAACATTAACCGGTCATTTACATAGATTCAGTTGTGCTCTGTAAATTGACAAGTCAAGATTCATAATTTTAACTGAGATGTATTCAACCAATTTATTATAAAAATTTGTATTCATTACTCGTTCTTCCGAAAAATATCAGGGTTATTCACGTTTTGTCTTGTTATCTTATTATGTTCTATCTTATTCTATTATATTCAATTTAATGTCAAAGCGGGCGAAACGATTCCCATATTTTGGTCTCATGTGGGAACTGTAAAATTCTAGAGCACACTAAGGTGAGAAGCTCTAAATACACTATATCCTATGTTATATTCTTCATCGCCTATGTGCGGGCTATGAAGGAGCTGAAATATTGGTTACATGATTAATATTATATTAATTAAAATCGAAATAGTAAGATGAATAAATGGTTAAGACGAAGATACAAAAAAAATAGACGAGTTTGACACTTGTTGGCAATAGGGAAAATGAAATAAGATAAAAGCAAATAAACACAATGTTAAAATAATTATTGTATATTTTGAAAGTTCCTTTTTTATTCAAAATATAAAATTTATCAATACAAATAGTTTAACATATGTATCACAGTAATTAGCTCCAATAATAACAGTGCCTTTAGGTAACAGTGCCTTTAGATCCAAAGCTACAAATTTGAAACATTAACATACCTCACGTCTTCATATTAATTCGATATACTACCTAAACAACTAGAAGTATATATCTTTTCAAAGTGTGAAAATCCTTTTGACTTTACATTTTCTGTATTATATCAGCAAATTTGTTAACATTGCTAAGTCATCATAAATATTCTTAAATTCTTATCGTCTTTTTACAATAGAATCATGACATCAGTAGTACTTATAAGTACTCATATTGGTGATCATTCGGAATGAATCAATGATCTGATTCATTCGGAAAACCATATTAACCAATAAACTTCTGACAAAACAACCATATTTTTTTGAAAATATACATAATTGTCAAATCAATATTTTTTAAAGAATCTCCGTCTATCTACAGAAATTAAATAAATGGATTACTATTGACCCTCAAGCTGCACGATTTACTACAATTCATTGACAAAACAGAAGGCATTCACTTGATGTGACTAAATTTAAATTGCAGTTTATGTATTGTGGCAAAGTTTTGTTACATTACAGAAAAGTATCTAATAAAATAAAAACAAAACAATATGCCAAAAACAAATAAAATAAACACATCACAATCACTTCTGAGACACTGTTTTTGCATACTCACAAAACCATTCCATTACAGCCGATTATCAAAACGATCATCAAATCAATGTAGATGATGCTTCTCGTGAGTTACATTTTTGAAACTGTAATGTTACACATTACTCGAACACACACTGCACTATACTCTTCCTCTTCCTCATCCAAATCCTCATCATTAACTTACTATGCTGCCATTAAACCATAGCCACCGACTCAAACAACAACAAAAACACCGAAAGATACCTTCAACTACGAGTGAAGTGCATGCATCTCGCTGCTTCTGCATGATCATATGGAGTATTCGTACCTGTGGCATAACATCCAGCACCAAGTTAAGTTATGCGTTGTTGTTTGTGCTAGCGGTGCTGGTGTGCTGGTGCTGGTGCTGGTGCTGGCGCTGGTGTCGTTGATGGCAGTATAGTTAACCGAATAAGATGATTTGAACGTTGGTAGAACAAACACATTGATGATAAGCAAAAATGATGATCATAATGCACATATGGTTAGATGCAGTACAAGTGACGGCTTTATCGGTTAAATAGCAGATACAACAACAATTTCAAATAAACAGCTGTATTTATAGACACAGAAATGTTGAGCGATATCGTCGCATTGAGCGAAGCAGCACACATCTCAGAATAAAATAAAAAAAAAACACAAAGTACATTTAATGTATTTTTGACTTTGCAGTTTGAATCCTCGACTTTCAGTTTAGTAATCTGTCAAAGCAGCATACAGCACATATGCAGGTTGAGTTCAATATAAATAACTGGCGATTCGAACTTAGAAATCAGTCAGAATCAAAGTTTCTCAGCAAACAGTTCATAGTGAATTGTGAAAGAGTGGCTAAAACAGTGCATATACAAAGGATAGAGTAAAGGACTTAACTAACATACGTAGTAGTCCGTATCCATAGTGGCAATAAAAAAATTTAAAAAGAAATTATACAAAATAATAATTAGTTAATTTGATTAAAAAATATTCTAAGTAAATATGTTTGAAAAGTTGTGTTTTTTACTACTAATTACAACCACATTGGCACGTCCTGAACCACCTCTTAATGCCTATCTACCTCCAATGGCAAGTGCTGCCTCCGCACCATCTGGTAGTTACAGCGCACCTGGTCGTGGTCGCACTGACACTAACATTGCTAGTCCTTCAAACTCATATGGTGCACCAAATCAAGGTGGCAATTTAAATGGCGACACTCCAAGTAATACTTATGGTGCTCCTCAACAAGGAGGTAATGGACGTAATTTGGGACGACCATCAAGTGCTTATGGTGCACCAAATCAAGGTACAGGTAGTCTTTCAAATGCTTATGGTCCACCAGACCAAAACGGTATTGGCAATGGACGCCCTTCAAATACTTATGGAGCACCCTCTTTTGGTGGTAGCAGTAGCGGTCGTCCGTCTAGCACTTATGGTGCACCTGGAGAAACAAACAACGGCTTATCACGTCCATCGAGTACTTATGGTGTACCCAGTAATGGTGAAGACCGCAATGGTGTTCTTTCCAACGCTTACTCACCAAATCAAATAACGGACAATTTAGGTCGACCATCAAGTACTTATGGAGCTCCTGGCCAAGGTGGAAATGGCAATGCACGACCATCAACTAATTATGATGCACCAGATCTGAATGGTAATGCACTATCGTCACCATCAAATACATATGGTGCTCCCAGACAAGGTACTGGCCAACTTTCTGGTAGTTATGGTGCCCCTAAACGAAACAATGGACGTCCAAGTGGACTATATGGTGCACCTGAACGAAATGGTTTGTCGGATAGTTACAGTGCTCCAGCCTCTGGTAATGGCAATGGCAATGGCAGCGGCAATGGCAATGGTAATGGTAATGGAAATGGTCAAGGTAATGGACGTATTGGTCAGCCAAAACAGGATTACTTGCCTCCAAACCGTGCAACTTCCAATGGAAATGGTCAACGAGGTGGTGATAGCAGCTACCAATATGATCAAGGTAGCATCAATGGTGCTGGTGGCTTACGTGGAGCTGGCGGTGTTAGTGGTACTTATGGTGGTACTGATGATAGTCAAAATAATGTAAGTGAACTAAAACTATACTTTTGCTTTACTTTGCTACTGTTCTTACTTGTTCTCTTCCAAACAACAACAAAACGCAAAAACAACTTACAAGCTTCTTATTCCTTCTACTCTTAACTACTCTACAATTTTACACGCAGAAACTTTTAAGCTTCTCATACTTTTATTTATTTTAACCTAGCTAATGCTTTTTGTGCTAAATTAAAAAAACTAAGGTGTCAAAAAATGTCATTAAACTTTTCATAGGAACCTGCTAAATATGAATTTAATTACGAAGTTGAAGACGCACCAAGTAGTCTGTCGTTTGCGCACTCAGAGATGCGTGATGGTGATTTCACAACGGGCCAATACAATGTTTTGTTGCCCGATGGCAGAAAGCAAGTAAGCGGTTTAAAAATAATTTCAGCTTCCCCCTTACCCGCTTTTCCTAACCATGGTACTGAATTTAAAACCTCATTTTATATTATTTTGCAGATCGTTGAATATGAAGCCGATGAAGAAGGCTATCGACCACAAGTGCGTTATGAAGGTGATGCTATTACTGGTAATGGTGTTGGCGGTCAATACGATGATGGTCAAGGATATAACAGTGGCAGACCAACTGGACAAGACAACTTAGGACAAGGCTACACCAATGGTCGTGCAGGTGGACAGGATAACCAAGGACAAGGTTATTCAAATGGACGTCCAAATGGCCAAGATAGTCAAGGACAAGGCTACAGTGGTGGTAGACCAACTGCACAAGATAATTTAGGACAATCTTATGATGGTGGTAGATTAAATGGAATTGGCGGACAATTTAACGATGGTCAAGGTTATACCAATGGCAAACCAACAGGACAAGATAACTTAGGACAGAATTTAGGTAATGGTCGTGCAGGTGGTCAAGATAGACAAGGTGGACAAGGATATTCTAATGGACGCCCAAATGGAAATGGTGGTCAAGGAAAAAATAATGGTAAACCAAATGGTCAAGATAACCAAGGGCAGGGTTACTCAAATGGTCGTCCAGGTACTAACGGTACTGGCGGTCAATTTAATGATGGTCAGGGATACGGCAATGGTAAGCCAAACGGACAAGATAATTTAGGACAAGGATATACAAGTCGTCGTCCTGGTGCGATTGGTAGTGGACGAAATGGCGATCAAGACTCATTTGGACCTGGTGGACAAAATGGTCTTAACGATGGCAATGGTTACAATTATTAATAAAATTCCTCGTGTAAAGAAAACTTCGAGAACAATGATATTTACTCCTGTATGATGTGCTCTAGAATACGTATATATGAACTAGTTTTTTTTGTATAGACCTTTTTATTATTTACATATTGTTTTAAGGAATACATATGTTTGTATGTATGCATTTATCTTTTATTATATAATATATATAAATTGTATTTACTTTATTGTTAAAATTCTTATATATTCCTTTTATAATCTTGAATCCTAAGTTTTAAAGAGACTTTAGCTTTTCTTTATCCTGTTCCACCTATTTTAGGTTAGCATAAAGCAAGAAGGCATAGCAAATGTTGAAATAAAAAGTTGGAAATTAATTATCCAAAATAAAAATAAAAAATATGTATTATTTAAATGTTTTCAATTCTAATATTGTTCTTAAATCCATGATTCACAGTCTACAATCTACTCATTTCATCAATACGTATCATTAAAGCCCATAAGAATGATGGTAGCCATCGATCTACATTTAAATTATGACTATTAAGAAATTTTAACTTAGAGTAATGATTATTATGAAACTTTAATAGTAAAGTAACATTACTGATATTTTTTCTAAATTTTTCTGGATCATTAAACAAAAATTAACAAATTTTACTAAATCAGACTTACCATCCATACCATAAACTTTTAGCACTTCTTCAATTAAAATTTTTTCTTTAAAGAAGGAAGAGATTTTTATATAATTTAATTTTTTTTATTAAAAAATATTGTTTTTGCTTTATAACTACAAATTCTGTTAACTATTATTTACTACCAACTAATTTCATTTTCCTATAAAGGACAAAATTTTTTAATTTAATTCTTATTTTAAATAACTTAATGCTTATTAACTGTATTATATATTTATTGAACCTATAATTGTATTTTTACCCTCCTCATAGTCTCCAAAATTTGTCCATGTATAGTTCCATAGACGAGGATCTGCTCTTGGATCTAAGGGTTTATTGGAAGGTGGCACAGCTGTGCTATTAAAACGATGAAGTTCATCAAGTAAAGAATTTAAAATGTGAGGATACCTAGAAGGGATTTTATATTTAAATTATTAAATTACTATTCTTACTTTATAATTGTACAGGTTTTATTATGTTAACAACTACATACTTCTCTGATAAATTGAACTGTTCGCACGGGTCATCTTTAATATTGAATAGACATGGCGCATTGAGTGGATTGCATATTGCACCTTGTTGCAAATACAAAAAATTCACAGCGCAATCTACTGAAGCACTTCTACGCAAACGTGTAATTTCTGCCAAACTCGGAAGAGCTTTCAAAGTGCTTATAGCTCGTCCTGCTAAACCTCTATAAATTTGTCTAGTATCATACATTTTTGGGTCCCGTATGCCCGCAGGTCCGTACCAACCATCCCAAGCACCTTGATAGTTGGTGCCTTTAACTACTTTCCAATCCCCAATGGTTATAGCTGCACTACCCCATATATCGTCGATATTATGCAAAATAGTTCTTCGTGGAGAAATTGTATTCTGTGTTAGGGCATTCCAAATACTAACACCATCTAATTTTGCAGTTATATTTCTATTTAAAATAAATTATTAAGGTACATATAATAACTAAATTTACACATCCTAGTTTTTGATCATGTTTTTTAAAACTTATAAAATCATGTTTTCATTATACTCGTATTTTTATACTAACGCTAATGCATTATCTCCTCCGATTGCATCAACAAGGGTGGGAAGCCAATCTGTTATATGAATTGTTTGTTCAGATACACGACCTGTTCCTCTTATTTTTGGATACCAAATCAAACCAGCTCCACGTACTCCACCTTCCCAAAGAGTATTTTTCACACCTCTTAAAGGCCAATTTGATGCATGATTAAGATTAAACCCTTCAGCAGGTCCACCATTATCAGTACTAAATATTATAATAGAATCATTTAACATTTTTTGTTTTTCTAATTTTTGAACTATTCGACCAACAGAATCATCTAATTTTGATAACATAGCTAAATTTCAAAGAAATATTTATATATCAGTATTATTGATATGATTAGTATATATAATACTACAAACCAGCATATTTTCTTCGTTTAAAGTCTTCAATGTGTTTCATCCTCTCTACTGCATCATCAGGTGCTGGTAATGGATTATAAGGATTTCCTGAATGTACTGCAGCATGTGCAACATACAAAAATAATGGTTGCGAAGAGTTGTGTAAACCTATAACACGTAATGACTCATCCGTAACTAAATCTGTAGTATATTTCCCATGTAAATCGTAAGCCACATCTAAAGCTATAATCCAAATAAAATATGTAGATTCAACATTTGACATTTTTTAAAATTCTTTTAAATTTCATAATATTGCTCTTGTGAAATTTTTTTCATACCACTGCGCATGTCAAGGCCCCAAGATGGATTTTCCTGTGCTGTGTGATCGAAATAATCATGATGACCAGTCCAAAAACCAACATGAGAACGAAAGCCTCTATAAAGTGGTGTATATATCCGTTTGTAATGACCCAAATGCCATTTTCCAGCAATATGAGAGGAATATCTGTATAAAAAATATCTGGTAAACAAGTATCCACATACTAATTGGAACCTTTTTGCATACCCTAAATCATTAAAGTATTCGGGCATAAGTTTTTCGCTTAGTGGAAGTCCACGTGGTTCAGCTCCGTATAAAACTGTGTGTTGCATACCTATTAAACAATATAAATACAAATGCTTGAAAATCTTAAACTCTTACGTTTTTTATTAACCCAACTCAAAAAATACACAAATCCTACCTATATACCTGTATGTATTGGATATTTTCCCGTCATTAGGGCGGATCGTGATGGAGTACATATCGGATTAACATAATAACGATTAAGTATTATGCCCGTATATGCCAGAGCGTCTATGTTAGGTGTGGGGATTTGTGCTGAGCCATGAAAACCAACATCATTAAAACCCTGTTAAAATAAAAAAAGTTTCATTTAAATTTCGAATGAAACAATAACTGTCATACCAAGTCATCTGCTAGTATAAATATAATGTGAGGTGGCTTTCTTTCTGCTTTAATTGGTGTGACCTCATCTTTTTGTGTGATTACGGACGATACAGATAGTAGGTATAATATTGTTTTTAAAAAGAAACTCCATTTGATTCTCATATTTTATGTATGCAGCAACTAAAAAAAGAATATTAAACATTATTTTTATTACATCTGTTTAGTTTAAATTCTGGTTCATTTCACACCATGAACCATGGAATGCGTCAAAGGTATGCTCATTGGATATGTCCAAATAGCATAGAGTTCTGTCGAATAGAGTTCTTCAGTGACAGTTTTGAACGTAAGTATAAAGTTTTGAATAACTGTTGAAATATAATTGCATCCATAAAACTTCATTTGCAGCATATGGTATTTGGTCTGAAGGTGTCATAGTTCCCTACTTTTTTGAAAATGGGGACCTTTCAGACCTGAAAAATTCACACAATCCTTCAATTCTGGCCCTTACGATTATATAATTACAAATTATTTTTGCGTGAAATTAAAGAAATGGATGTACAAGAGGATTGTACTTGATAAATTTACCGAGCATATAATTTTACATTGTATTGTTGTAAAATTGGTAACAAGATCATGCCCTCTCCCACCGATGGACTTTTTTTTTAAAGTTACGTTAAAGAATGTTTATAAGGACAATGCTCAAACTCTCGTCACGTTGAAAACATGAACGCGATATTTTTTAAAATATGACTGAGCTATTGCTACGTATGTGGCCACAAGACTTCGGAAACTACCTTAAAAGAATCCAATACTGTAAGATTTTCTACATAGAACATTTAAATGAAATTGTATACATTTATTACATTAATGATTGGGTTCAAATAATATATGCCAATAAAAATTTATGCAATATCTTATCTGTAAGTGGTTTTAGATATTAACGTATTCTTTTCAGAAAAATAAAACGTATAATCCTGAGCTTTAACAAGTTTGCCTTTTAAGCTATTGTTTATATATTTTCATATAAACATTTAGTTTATATTAGTTTGGAATTATAAAACTTATACAGTGTAAACGAATAATATTTTCAGTGTAAACAGGATATTCATTCTGGCTATAACTGGAAATGTCAAAATCGAGCCTATAAGAAATAGGCTCGATTTTGAATCTAAAACTGTTGATCGGAGTAATATATAGAGCCTACATTTAATAATATACAGAGTAGAAGTATGTATAGAATAAAGAATGATCTTATACAAACAATCAAAATGATCATGAAAGTTAAAAGGAAGATCTGATGATCATATCATACATACCGCAAAAACGATTAAAGGAATCACTGTTTAACTAATCACTATTTAGTATTTATACTAAATATTCTAAAAAAAATTTATTGTATAGTAATATATAATTAAATTGAAGCTTAATAAAATCATTTATATATCTGTCGTCAAAGTAAGTTATTATTGTAAATATTTAAGAAGGGGAAAAAAACTTTGGTATTCAGGGTCACATTTGTCCTAATGGAACTTATAAAGAACTAGTAAAGATCAAATGAAAGAAATATGAATTTAAACTTGAGTCGATTGTATTTTTTAATTGGCATCAATCAATTATAATTTTAAGGTTACTACTTTGACATAATTATTGTAATTCAATACATTTATTATGAGTTCTTAGCCGTAAGATTGAAAGAAAGAAATAAATAAATAACTTATATTTATTTATTATTTTAGGAATCATATGACATTGTTTTTGAGAATTTTTACTAATAATAAAATGAACAGATGTTAAAAAATGTGTTATTTTATTTTGTGTGTTGACACTTAAAAAAATATTGTTATAGTGTATTAAGTTACTGAGCTAGAGATACCCAACTATATGCTGATTGAAATATAAGTCGGTATTGGGTAGTTGAGATATAATTTTTTTATATATTTTAGGTAACCACCTCCTATAATACTTCGTTTCTATAAACTGTGATCTTTAACCCATATTTTAATAGAAATAACTTCATCTGAACTATAAAAATAATTCCACAATTTGCGAGTACTTAATCTGAACTACATAGGTATTTAAATACTCTCTTGTTCTCTCCTGTTACTCTCTTGTTCTATATATGTATTTTAAGTTTTCCATAAA